TCGCTTCCTTCTGGGTTTGTGAGGGTTTTTCCCTTCACCCGACCCTGAAGCTCTTGTGCGGCATGCTGCTGCCATGGACGCCGCGCACTTTCTGTACATCAGTCGCCTCCAGCCAGCCCAAGCGGGTGGTGGCGGGGAGGGGGCGCACCGGGATGAGTGTGATGTGGGGGCAAGTCTTCTTGCATCGACTAGACGTAAGAGTGACCTTTCGCTGGAGTGACCTTTGGTGCGGGCCCACTTGGGCCCCCCGATCGCGGAACGCGATGCGATGGTAGCCTCTAGCGCACTTGTGTGTGGCCCCCCCGCGGCCCCCCAAAAGCCGCGCACCAAAGGTCACTCTTACCCAGGGTCACTCTTGCGTGTAGCCGACTGCAGGTAGGTGCGCGAGGGGAGGCGGCCCACCGCACGTGCACCACGGGGTGACGGGACGCGGCGCGCTGGTGGGCGCACCCTGCTCTTGCCGTGCTGTGCGCCTCCTCCTGCCTTGGAAGGATCCGACGTCGCGGGGAAGACCCCGACCAGAGCTCGGGGGTCGGTGGGGACTCGGACTCGGGCCGTTCTCCGAGGATGTCTCGGGCGACTGGAGCCGCCAGGGTCCCAAAACCGTGCGCTGACGGACCGTGCGGTGAGGTCTTGGGGGATTTCGAGATCACCGCACGGTCTGTCACCGCACCGTTTCGGGACTCCAGATCATCTGCGGGCTCGGTACAGAAGGGCTCCCTGAGCCCGAGGCGAGGCGACAGCGCCCCTCGCGACTTCCCCACGCCGCCCAGGCTTGAGCAGCTTGCTTCCTCTGGAGGTCTCGTGGGGGCGCCTGCGGATCTCCAGCTCGTCCCCGCAGGTTTCCGCGGAGGGCGCCCATCAGCAGGCCCCTGGAGGAGGCCTCCCGAGACTCGAGCGGCCAGGCACCTTCAAACATCGGGCCCCCTTGCCTGGCGGGCGGCGAGGATCTGACGGGGCTAGGAGGAGGAGGAATAGGAGGAGGAGGAGGAGGAGGAGGAGGAGGAGGAGGAGGAGGAGGAGGAGGAGGAGGAGGAGGAGGAGGAGGAGGAGGAGGAGAGGCCGGGAGATTGTGGAGTCCCTGTGGGTTTCAGACGATTTTTTTACGATCTTTCACGTTGCTCCTCATCATTATTCTGATATTTCCTCTCTCGCTTTCTCTCTCTCTCTCAATCTCTCCCACTCCCATTCCCATTCCATTCCCATTCCCATTCCCACTCCCATTACCATTACCATTACCATTCCCATTCCCATTCCCATTCCCATTCACATTACCATGACCATTACCTTTACCTTTATCGTTACCTTTACCTTTACCATTACCATTACCATTGCCATTACAATTGCCATTGTCATTGTCATTGCCATTGCCATTCCCATTGCCATTGCCATTACCAGTGCCGTTGCAATTGCCATTGCCATTGCCATTGCCAGTCGCCACCCCGTTACCATTACCATTACCGTTACCATTACCATTGCCGTTACGATTCCCATTACCATTAGCCACTACCATTACCATTGCCATTACCATTAGCATTACCAACACCATTGCCATTACCATTACCATTACCACTGCTGCCATCACCATTACAATTCCCATTCCCATCACCATTGCCATGACCATTACCATTACCAGTACCATTTCCATTACCATTGCCATTATCATTACCACTACCACTACCATGTCCATTCCCGTTCCCGTTCCAATTACCTCTACGATTCCCATTCTCATTCCCATTCCCATCCCCATGACCGCTACCATTACCATTACCATTAGCATGACCATGACCATTACCATTACCATTACCATTGCCATGGCCATTGCTATTGCCATTGCCATTGCTGTTGCCATTCCCATTGCCATTGCCATTGCCAGTACCATTACCATTACCATTGCCATCGCCGTTGCCATTGCCATTGCCAGTCGCTACCCCGCTACCATTGCCATAACCATTACCATTACCGTTACCGTCACCATTACCATTCCCAGTACCATTACCATTACCACTGTCATTGCCATTACCATTACCATTGCCATTGCCATTGCCATTCGCCGCTACCATTACCATTGCCATTCGCCACTACCATTACCATTGCCATTGCCCTTCGCCACTGCCATTACCATTGCCAGTACCATTACCATTCCGATTCACATTCCCATTCCCAATACCATTACCATTACCAATACCATTACCATTGCCATTACAACTGCCATTGCCATTACTATTACCATTACCTTTACCTTTACCTTTACCTTTACCTTTACCTTTACCTTTACCTTTACCCTTACCCTTACCATTCCCATTTCCGTTACCACTACCACTGCCATTTCCATGCCCGTTCCCATTCCCATTCCCATTCCCATTCACATTCCCATTCCCGTTCCCATTCCCATTCACATTACCATTGCCATTACCATTGCCATTGTCATTGCCATTGCCATGGCCATTACCATTGCCATTGCCATTCCCATTGCCATTGCCATTGCCATTGCCATTACCATTACCGTTGCCATTGTCATTGTCATTGCCATTGCCAGTCGCTACCCCGTTACCATTATCATTACCGTTATCATTACCAGTACCATTACCATTACCTCTGTCATCACCATTACCCTTCGCATTGCCATTGCCATTGCCATTAGCCACTACCATTGCCATTGCCAGTACCATTTCCATTGCCATTCCCATTCCCATGACCATTACCATGACCATTACCATTACCATTTCCATTACCATTACCATTACCATTACCTTTACCTCTACCTTTACCTTTACCCTTACCCTTAACATTCCCATTTCCGTCACCACTACCACTACCATTTCCGTTCCCGTTCCCGTTCCCGTTCCCATTCCCATTCCCATTCGCATTCCCATTCCCGTTCCCATTCCCACTACCATTGCCATTACAATTACACTTACCATTGCCGTTGCCATTGCCACGGCCATTATCATTGTCATTGCCATTGCCATTGCCAATCCCATTGCCATTGCCACTACCATTACCATTGCCATTGTCATTGCCATTGCCAATCGCTACCCCGTTACCATTTCCATTGCCATTCCCATTCCCATGACCATTACCATGACCATTACCATTACCATTTCCATTACCATTACCATTACCATTACCTTTACCTCTACCTTTCGCCACTACCATTACCATTGCCAGTACCATTCCCATTCCCATTCCCATTCCCATTACCATTACCATTAGCATTACACTTACCATTACCATTACCGCTGCCATTACCAGTAGAATTCCCATTCTCATTCCCATTCCCAATACCATTACAATTTCCATTACCATTACCATTACCATTACCAGTGCCATTACCATTACCACTACCACTATCATTTTCATTCCCGTTCCCGTTCCCATTCCCACTCCCATTACCATTACCATTACCATTACCATTACCATTACCATTACCATTACCATTACCATTACCATTACCATTACCACTGCCATTGCCATTACCATTACCTTTACCTCTACCTTTACCTTTACCCTTACCCTTACCATTACCATTGCCAGGGCCATTACCATTGCCATTGCCATTGCCAATGTCATTGCCATTCCCATTTCCATTGCCATTTCCATTACCATTACCATTACCGTTGCCATTGCCATTGTCATTGCCTCGCTACCCCGTTACCACTATCATTACCGTAACCATTACCAGTACCATTACCATTACCACTGTCATTACCATTACCATAACCATTGCCATTGCCATGGCCATTGCCATTGCCATTGCCATTCGAGGATTTCAGTAGGAATCATTCAGTGGAGGGTTTCAGTAGGAACCCACATGTGGAGGATTTCAGTAGGAATCATTCAGTGGAGGGTTTCGATAGGAACCCTTCTGTCGAAGATTTCACTGTGAATCCATCTTATGGGGGCGTTCAATGGGAATCCTTCTAGGGGGGAGGGCAGATGTGGCCACATCGCATTCCTTTTTTTTTGTCTCCTGGCGCCCCCCCCCCTCCCCCCAGAACAAAACATGTTTTTTTTTTTCTTTTCTTTTTTTGGGGGGGGGCGCCAGGAGAAAAAAAAAGGCAGAGAGGTAGGAGGAGGGGGAGAGGGAGGGAGGAGGACGAGGAGGAGGAGGAGGAGGAGGAGGAGGGGGCGGAGGAGGAGGAGGAGGAGGAGGAGGAGGACGACACAGAGCAGAGTTTGCACAGAAACAGTCGCGAACTCAGCGCGAAAGCCTCGCGTGCGCGCTTTGGAACCACATGGACTCCACAATCCCCCGTTCTCGAGGAGGAGGAGGATGAGGAGGAGGCGGAGGAGGCGGAGGAGGCGGAGGAGGAGGAGGAGGAGGAGGAGGAGGAGGAGGAGGAGGAGGAGGAGGAGGAGGAGGAGCCGGTGGCGCGTAGGGCTTGGGCAGGGCGAGAGGAGGTGCCCCCCGGCCTCTTGGAAGCCTCCCGGGCCCACTTTCAAAGGGCCCTTCCAAGACGCCTTTTGTCGAACGGGGCTAAGATGAGCACTTTTCCAGGAGGAAAAGAAACACATACACACACGCGATTAGTCGACTAGTCGTCGACTCCCAGGAGAATATGGGAATATGGGAAGTGGGGGGGAAGACGAACAAAAACAGAAGATGGTGGAACATTTGCGGAATTTTGGGATTTGTGTGTATTTATTAGTTTGTCCCTGGACCCCCTCAATTAATCCGTTCCAGAACGTTCCTGAAAGCTTCAAGGGCGGTCCGGAACTCTCCGACAAGGCCGCGGCGTCCGAGACATCCTCCAGAGTCGCTGGACTTCAGAGATTCCAGATGTATCCTCACCCGATTTTATCCTCGTCCTGGCCCCGTCTTACTCTGGAGGAGGCCTCCTGAGACTCGAACGGTCATCGGGCCCTCCTTATTCGGCCACGCGCAGAAAGGGGGATGGGGAAGGGCGCCTTATAAGAAGCAGCCTCCTTCTAAGAGGCCTTTCCCCGTCCCCCTGCCCTCTTGTGCGCGCCGCCAACTTGCGCTGGCGGGCGGCGAGGACGAGGAGGTCCCCGTCGAAGACGAGGCCGCCGACGCTGAGGAGGGCGGCGGCGCGGAGGACTGCCGCCCGCCTGGCCGTCGGGCTCGGCAGCGAGGGATCCTCGGGAGTTCTGGGCGTGCACGGCTGGAGGATGAGCCCGAGGAGGGGGGGGAGGAGGTCAGAGGAGGAACCGATTCCCCTTACCGCCAGTCTTCCCGCGCTTTCGCCTTTGTTGGCCTCCTGGGAGGCCCTCGTCGCCACGGCTGGACTCGCCTCGAACTTCTAGTCAAAACGCGCCCCAGGAGAGGTCCAGGGAGTAGCGGTATCCGTGCCAATTGGATCCCCCAGGAGGGACAGCAAAGTTAATTATTGAAAGGAGGGCGAGGAGGAGGAGAAGGAGGAGGAGGAGGAGGAGGAGGGTGAGGAGGGTGAGGAGGGCGAGGGTGGGAGGAGGAGGCGGAGGAGGAGGAGGCGGAGGAGGAGGAGGAGCAGGAGGAGGAGGAGGAGGAGGAGGAGGATGAGGAGGGGGAGCACGCATTGCTAAGGAGGAGTAAAATGATGATGATGCTGCTACCGCTGATGACGATGATGAAGGATGATCAGGATGACGATGACGATAATGTTGCTGATGATGGTGATGATGTTGATGCTGCTGATGCTGCTGATGATGATGATAGTGGTGGTGATGATGCTGATGATGCTGATGCTGATGCTGCTGCTGCTGCTGCTAAAGGTTACGATGATGCTGACGATGATGATTGTGGTGGTGGTGATGATGCTGCTGCTGATGATGATGGTGATGCTGATGCTGATGATGATGATGATGATGATGATGATGTAGATGATAATGACGATGATGATGCTGCTGATGATGATGGTGATGATGATGATGATGATGATGATGATGATGATGATGATGGTGATGATGATGATGGTGATGATGATGATGATGATGATGCTATGCGGCTGATGATGAGGAGGAGGAGCAGGAGAGGGAGGAGCACGCATGGTTGAGGAGGAGTACAAGGATGGTGATGATGCTGCTGCTGCTGATGATGATGCTGCTGATCATGGTGATGATGCTGATTATGATGATGGTGATGATGCTGAGGAAGAGGAGGAGAAGAAACAGGAGGGGGAGGACCAATGTAAACCGAAGGCGCATCAACGATGTTATAGTGAACCTCTCTCCAGGTTTCCTTCTCATAGGTTCCTAACAGGATTTGTTATCATTGCGGGAATTGCCCAAATGGAAGGCAATTGTTTGATAATCCCTGATCGTGCCAAAACGCAATACGCCACGACTCCGCGTGATTGTTGCGTCCTGATAATCCTGAGTCGTGCCAGAACACCTTCCGTGGGATTTCAACACCGCGAATCAAGGTAACTGTTGCGCCCTATTAATCTTAAACCGTGCCAGAACACCGTTCGTGGGACTTCAAACATACGAACCCTCGTCGCTGTTGCAGACTTTTCAAACGAATGTGCGCGGCGCTAGGGCGAGAGCCACATTTTGAAAAGGAGCCGCCCTGGGGAGGCGATAGGGTTTTTTGTGTAGGGAAAAGGGGGTGGAGTAGCAGAAGGGGACGATGGAGAAGGAGGAGGAGGAAGAGTTTACGGTTACCGACTGCCTGGAGGACGTCCCACATGCCCGCATCACAAGTGCAATGTCGAATTGGATCCTAAGCAGAGCTCTACCCCCGCCGTGCACCTCGCGGCAACGCAAGCTGCCCCTCCTCACCTAGTGGACGGTAGGGCCCCCGACGGTCCCCTCACAAGCGCCCCGCCCTGACGAAGAGGTTCTCGTAGAACTTGAAAGGCGGAATGGCGCACAGCGAGAAGACGTAGGCGAAGGAGGAGGAGGAGGAGGACGAGGAGGAGGAGGAGGAGGAGGAGGAGGAGGATGAGGAGGAGGGGGAGGCGCAGGACCAGTGTAAAGACAGAACCACCCTGCCGTCCCAAGCCCCCTCCTCACAGTTCCAGGCCCCTCTTCGCCGCGGGTAAGCGCCCCCTTGGCAGGCGAGAGCGCGCCGTGAGGCTGCCGTTCGTGCGAGAGCTCCATCCTGGAAAATGATCCGCCCTCCATCCTTCTGGCCGTAGATCGGCGGAGCGATGGGGGGGGAAAATGAAAAGGATAAGACCCTCTCAGAAGGCGGCGGGGCTTCTCAGAAGCCCCCAGGCCTTCCGATTAATTTTCTGTGTCTTTGGGAAGGCTTGCGAAACTTTTCAGAAGGCAGGGGGTCTTCCGAGCCTTCTGAGAAGGCCCGTTCCTTCTCGCTTCCCCCCCGCGCTCGCCGCCAAGTCGAAAGCGCAAACAGGTAGGAGCGTCCTCGAAATCAAACGCAAGTTTTTATCCAACCTCCTCGCCCCCGACTTTTGATGCTGAGATCGGCGCGCGCAGCGTGGCCCGCCGGGTCCGAAAATGATTGCAGTCGCCAGTTTCGTCTCGAACTCTGGAATTGGGGGTCCAGGGTTTGCGCCACGTCGCGAGAAAAACTTGCGTTTGATTTCAGGGGGGACGTAGGACCGTCAAGTTCGAGGAAGGGCTGCGAGAGCTCTCCGCTGACCTTCCAGCACGTCTAGAGACACTCGGGGGCTCCAAACAGTGCAGTATCCACACCCGTAGCCATTTTGGCTCAAGCCGCTTCTGGCTGGCTCAAGCAGCCGTTGGCCCCGTGCCCAGGAGCGTGCCCCGGCCTGGTCCACCCCCTTCAGGTACTGCACTGGGTCCACACCACTTGCGCATGACCCGAGTGGGTCTGGCGGCGCTGTCCCTGGCAGGTGTCGCCTCGCTCGCGAGAGCGCTGACCCTGGAGGCCTCGCTGGCCCATGGCGCGACTCTCGAGACGACCGGCTCGTGGCCGGAAGAGGCGGCGACCGCGGAGGACCCGGCGGAGGGGCCGATCTCTTTTTTCAAGCACTCGCGCGGAACGCGCCTGAGGACGGAGCGCCTGGACGCGCACGCCGATCCCCTGGCACAGGTCGAGAGGCTGAAGCAGGGGCGGCAGCGGGCGGAGGATGAGGCTCAGCACGTGGAGCAGGAGGAGGCCGGAGCCGTCAAGGTTCACGGCGAGGGGGGCAAGTCGCCCACGGAGGTCCCAGACCGAGGAGGCGCGCAGCGCAGGGTCCGCACGATCAAGACGAACTGCGTGGGTTTCAAGTGCGTGTGCTGAGCGGGCGGAGGCAGGGCAGCCTCCTTTTCCTCCTCGTCCTCCTCGTCCTCCCCCTCATCCCCTTCCTTCTCCTCCTCGTCCTCGTCCTGCTCCTCCTCCTCCTCCTCCTCCTCCTCCTCCTCCTCCTCCTCCTCCTCCTCCTCTGGGGAGCGGGACGGGGCCGACAGCGGGTCGGACAGGCTCATCGTGACCACGGGTTACTGGAGGCTCGCTTAAAAAAACAGTACAGTAGCCACACCGTGTGGCGTGTGAGTGGGAATTCGGGGTGACCGCAAGGTTTCGGGACTTGGGTCGTTCTCCGAGGACGTCTCTGGCGACGGAGGCCTCCGTGGCCCCATAACCGTGCGGTGACGGACCGTGCGGTGAGGTCCTTGGGGATTCCGAGGTCACTGCACGGTCTGTCACCGCACCGTGGTGGAACTCCCAAGTCCCTGGGCACGATGACAAGCCAGCCAGCCATCCCTACAAAATTTGCCACTGAAGGGTCCGACTCCTTGCAGTGAGGATCTTCTCGTACCGCCGTGCGGGGCCGCATCCCGTCCTGCAGGTCGTCGGTCTCGCCGTGCACGGATCCAGTCAGGAACTTTGGCTTAGCGCGTCGCGCCCCCGATTCTGGCCCACCTCGTCCGAGTCCCCGAGCGTCGATGTCCCGAGCCTTTCCCAGCCGCCCGCCCCGCGGAGCGGAGCGACACGCCATCCGCTTGCAGGGGGTAGCGTGTCGCTGGGGGCTGCCGCCGCGACCCGCGAAGCAAACGTTCCCGACCTTGTGCGCCTTTCGGATGATTAGCTACAGCCAAGGCGCTGAAGTAAGGAGCACCTTGGGTTCGAGAGGTGCCCTTGCTTTCGGGCCGTTCCTCAGATCCAGGTCGGACCAAGGTTCGCCGAGGCCGAAAAGCTCCTTCGTTCATGAGTCAGCGTCTCTTCTTGTAGCGCGATGGCTGCAGCCAGCTCTTTCCACGAGTCACCTTCCGTGGCCCACCTCGCGGATCGCATCCCGTCGCATTGGTGCTGGGCTGACTGGGCAGTGCAGCGCTGCCTGGTGCAACATCGGCCCTCACCCCTCTCGGAGCTGGGTGTATCAGTATGCCCAACGAAGTGCGCGGCGGCTTACACGCCCGAGTTTCTGGTGCGCAGCGGCTCTTGCGATGATCTTTCGGCATCCGTCGGAGGCATCACACAACAAAACATCACACAAGGTCATCGTTCCTCATTACTTTCTTCGCTTGGCCCGTGCGTGCTCTGCTCCCCCATCCCTCCTCGTGCTGGCTTCACTTCCACGAGGCTCGTTGCAACGCGAGCTGTTTCGCTGAGCGGGCTCTGAGGGAGTCGTTCGTGTCGTGTTGATGGGTGCGGACCGTGGACACCACATCCCTCCTCGAAATCGAACGCAAGTTTTTCCCGCGACGTGGCGGCGCCCCAGGACCCCCCGATTTCAAGGTTCGCGCCAAAACTGGCGATTGCAAACGCAAAGATCTGACCTCGCGGGCCGCGTTTCGCGCGTCGATGAACATCTGAAAACTTGCGTCTGATTTCGATCGCGACGAAGGAAAACGGCATAAACACCAACTTGTGGCGCTCTGCGCGGATTTCTCGGATCTGCGCTGGGGCCCCCTGGCGGCGCCTCCGGCGCCGCCCCTGGCGCGCTCCGCGAGCCAGGGGGGGGGTCCTCCAGCGCAGATCCAAGAAGTCCGCGAGCACCGTCGAGAGTTTCTGTCTATGTGGTTTCCTCTTCCCTCCCTCCGAGGAGGGTTTCGGTTCTGGGCTCCGACGCGTGCCCCCCCCGGCGGCCGCCGGCCGGCCCCTCGGCAGCCCGCCTTGGGCCCGCCGGGCCACCCGTCGCAACGCGTGCAGTGCGCGCGAGGGAGGGAGAGAGCGGTCGGCCCGAGGAGGACCTGGGCCCGCCGATGATACGCGAGGCCTGGAACAAGAAGGCGGGGAGGGGGGGATGGGGGGGAGGAGGAGCACGGCAGGGGAGGTTTCGCTTGCTCAGGATCGTTGCGCTGCTCGTCCAGCTTCTGTCGCCGCGTGGGGCCTCGCGAGGGTAGTAGGTCTCAGCCGCTGCTAGGCAGAGGCTGGGAACAACTCGTCTCGATCCAGGAGTTTCCAGTTTAGCCGGGGGGACATTCATCTAACCGGTGTGCGCATTTCGGTCGTTTGAGGGGGACGACGACGAGGGGAATCAGGGGGTGAGGCGCGCGGATGCACCAACCACGTGTCGTTTCGCTGGGGGTAGGGGTGGCTAGCATGGGAGGTCATCGGAGGGCCATCGCATGAGTGCAAGTGCGTTGCACATTCTCCCGTAGTCTGACTCAAGCAATGACCAAGGGCAGTAGCGGCGATATTCTCGTCGTTGGGCTTGACGTCCTCCTCCTGACGACGCCTTGTCTCGTCCTCGCGCCTCCCTCTTCTTTCCGCCACTCTATCCTGGACGCGCCCCAGAGGTGGTTAATCTCCGCCAGAAGCTGAAGAGCGTTGAAGACGCGGATCGCTTTATCTCGCAGTTGAGGGACACTATCGAGAAGGGGAAGGCGCGCAATGGGGCGACCAGATTTCTCGAGAGCGTGCTTCCGCTGGTTGGAGCGGAAGCGCGCGGTGCAGCGTGCAGGAACGTCTCGATCACAGCTCGCCCCATCGAAGGGTGGTCATGATTTGCTACCCTCCGTACCTTTCTTCGCTATCATGACCCCCTTTTTATATTCTACTCTTTCTCTCTCTCTCTCTCTCTCTTTCTTTTCCCCTCCCTCACTCTCTCTCTCTCTCTCCCCCTCTCCCCTTCTCTAGAACACAGACCATCCACTCAGACACAAAGACGCCACTGGACCCAGATTATTCCTCCTCTTCCCATCTTTCCTGGTTCTTGTCCCTACGACTCCTGCTCCTACCCTCGCGACTCTGGCACCCGTGTCCTATCTTCTAACTTTGTGCCCACCTTTCGGACTCCGCGATCGTCTCTCCGACTCCGGCTCCTACCACCACCACGCTAGGTAGATTTTGTTCCCACGATTTCGGCTCTCACCCACGCGACTCCGACACCAGTGTTCTGTCCTCCGACTTCTGTGTTGATCTTTCCGACTCCTGCGATCGTCTCTCCGACGCCAGCTCCTACCACAACGACTCACGTTCTGATCCCCACGGCTCTCCGGTTCTACCATCTTCCGTCTCCTCCTGCTCCCATTTCCCGACCTTTGCGATCGTCTCTCGAACTTTGGATGTTTACATTGCACTCATACTGGCAGTGAACATTTGGAACAGTTGTGGTGGATATCTACACGGACGACGACAAAGGCAAGGAAACTCACCTCCTCGTCTCCAACCTGGAACCCCACGATTCAGACTCCGACTCCTGTCCACAACGCTTCGCCTGAGGGCCACGACCCCCTCGCGCCGCTCTCGTCGGGCCGCCGGCCCGACGTCGCGTGCTCGTTCGCTTCGCCCTCTTTCCTGCCTTCCCTCTTGCCCTCCGCCTCCGCCTCCTCCTCCTCCTTCCTCCTCCTCCTCGTCCTCCATCCTCCTCCTCCTCTTTCAGCTGCCGTGACAGCCCAAGGCAGCCATCACAGCAGCATCCATGAGGGCCACCAGGGGGCCCGTCTGGTCTTTCGCCGCGGCCTTTCGCCCGAACGCACGCCAGACATCGGCGGCCCGCTGGCCGATCACCCTCCGCGTTCTTGGATTTAACCCTCGCCATGCTCCTGGATCGCGAACGAGCGTAATAATCATGGCTGGCCCTAGTATGGACATACTTACCTTGGCTGGAACCCGTTCGAACCACAGAAAGAGCGAAGAGATCTCGGGAAGGAGAGTCTTGGGGCATCAGGTTCGGGATGCAGAAGCAGGAGATGGCCCCTATACAAATCGATCGACAGCTTGCGCAGTTATTTTGCACCCATCCTTCTCGCAGAAGAAAATTCGCAGAATGTGGTCCAGCCCTCCACAGGCCTTCAGAAGAGCTATGGCAGTGCCGTTTGTACGAGGCCCACTGGATGTCACAATGATAGCATTCTACCACCCCCTGCAGCCGAATTACGCGAAGGAGGCCGCCAACTGTTTCCAGACGGTGCGTATTCTCACCAGGTGATGCGACTCCGTGCTTCCGGCGCTACCCTACAGGAGGTCACCCATCTTGTATGCTGATCTCAACGACCGCCAGGGCATATTTGTGAGCAGCATCCCTTGCTGGCAATGAATACCCGGTTGTAGGATTTGCAAGCTACATTATATGGTTCATCTGGTGGGCAGAGTTGTATGATTTCATGTGCGACCTCTTGGGCATGACGGACTTTGTGACGCTATGCCACCCATTGCACCGATCTGGAGCTTCGATCCAGGCGTACCGTGGACGACCGCTCAGAGACCACGTGCCGCTGTATATGGAAATTGTACGTGTGAGGAGCTATGCCCCGCGGGAAACATACCATCCGCCCACATTGGAAGATGGGCGCCATCATGGGCGCAGTGCGCAAAGCAGATCAACGCCCCGAATTGTTACGTGCCGTTCAAGCCAGACTGCCGGAGAAGGAAGATACGTGGAGAGAGTTGCTGACGCGTGGACGGCCAGACGAGGCTTTTGCATTCATAGAGGCCCTGCTCATACAGGTTCAACAGCGCTTCTTCAAAGCTAAGGTGACGATAAACGAGAACTACCAGCAACAAAAATAACAACGAGAGCGGCTATTACGAGAACGGGCCAGCTTACGATTGGAGCGCGCTCATGCGGATGATGACAGACTGGCGATCTGTGAAGCAGAGCGGCGACGAATTTCTCAACAGCTCAAGCTTCAGCGACAAGAACTCACCGACGTCGACGGGAGGACGTACTCCAAGGAATCGATTACACGTGGAACAGCAGGAGGCTGGCTGAAACCATGAGGCTCACTGGACTTGTGGGTGCATGCAGATATGGAGCAAAACAACAAGATGGCCGACTTATACGAGGCGGTGCGTTCACGGAGGCTGAGCTGACTTCGTGCTAGGCACTTTCTGGTGCAGAAAGTGGCATGAACGCAGCGCCCGGGACCGTCGAACATGTACTAGCAGACTATCCTGACCCTGTCCCTGCCTACATAAGCGTTGATGACTGCGAGCTGGCGCAGAAAGATCTCTGGAGCACCAAGCGTTACTTCCGAAGGGCGCAGCAACGACGAGCTGTGCCGGCTGCTACCTCACCGATGGGGCTCTGGATGATGTGTCTCGACCCCGAGCGGAACCTTGTGGGCGCAGAGGATATGGGCTGGGGTTTGACTTATCTATGCCAGGTATGGAATGTTTCTCGAAGTTCATGGAATCTGCCTTTCAGCAAATCCGATCGACCAAGAGGGCCCCGATGGCCTGGCATCACAGTCGGGGTGCCCGGCTGAGGAGGAATGCTACTCCTGGCCCGAAGGGGCGTCGGACGGTGCATGTGATGAGCGCGCTGGGCAAAGCCTTTCATTATGTTATGTTTTAGGTTGCCCACAAACGTTTCGAGCGCGGTTTCATGCCGGGTAAGAGCCGTGAGGGCGCCATTTGTGTGAGCCAGATTCTTGGCTGGCGCCTGCAAGAGGCAGGCCGATGCTTTGCCCTCAGCTATAAGGATCGGAACAACGCTTTCGCTTGTGGGAGGTGGTGGTGGTGGTGTGGGGGGGGGGCTAGAGGAGACGGTTCGCTTGCGCGCCAACCCGGAGGACATTGACTTTTGCATCCAACGTTTTGAGCTCAGAGCGATTTCTCTGGGGGCTCTGGAAGGGGAGGTCGCGCTGAAGACAGGAGAAGGGGGGCTCGTGGGGGGCCCGTTCGCCTTCCTGCTCTTTCTGGGCACGCTCGCACGACCGCTGACAAGATGGAGAATGCGCGATCCAGTCAACAGATGCTAAATTTGTTTAATTCACGGCCAGGTAGAGGGACATGAGGGCGAACGTGGGGGGGATGTCCTTACGCCGATGACGTCTTCCAGGCTAATCCGGTCCTTGTTCCGATTCCCATCGAGAAGCTCGCAGGGGATTCTGAAAGATTGCGACGGCGATCTTGATCAGAAAGTTTTTTTTTGGGGGGCGGCGCTCGAAACCCAACGAGCCAACAACTTCATATGCATTTCCATGGGGCGGGGGTTGCGACCTGCAAGCGGTGGGCGCGGCCCTGCCCGCAGCTGGTTCCAGGCAGTTTCAAGGGCGCAGTGTGGCATCTCGGCCCAGTGCTAAATTTAAACTGGTCGCCCGAGGTCGAGATTGGCCGATGCTGCGCGGCAAATGCAGACTCTTTCTATCCATGGGCAGAGTGTGGTCTCTTTCTCTTTCGCGCCGCTGGCTGCGGACATTGTTCATTAACTTTGTGCAGAATGCAGTCCTGTCGGGCCTGGGGCCTACCCTGTTCACCCCAGTTCACTATGTCCGACTCGATGCTCAGATTGCCCGACTCGGTCGACGAGCGACGCAGGGCCGAGCCGCGACGTATCGCGAAGACGAGGTCCGATCGATGACGACGAAGCAAATGCTAGCGCGCTGGAGGATCGTATCTTGGGGGGTGGCGCTTATCGTTCGTCGTTTGCACTGGTGCGTGGGTTGGGTCAAGGGCCCCGAGGGGTACTCGAAGGGGCTCTGCCTTCTCTTTTGGGTTTCTAGAAGTTCCAGGGGATCGAGGATGTCGCCTAATCGGGGGCGTTCCAACAAGTGCCGGATCCTGGTGGCTCTGCAGGCTCCAGAAGGACTTCCAATGGGCCGCCGAGGACGTGGGCGGGGGGCAGGAAGTGTGTGGCCACGTCAGCCTGAGCCCTGGGCGCATTTTAGACAAGGATGTTTTCGAGGAGCTCTCTCAGGTAGATTTCGCGGAGATCAGAGCTCGAGCCCTTTCGCGCGCTGTCCCGCCGCCGACTCGCGCGAGGGCGGTGGCCGACTGGTCCCTCCACGCGTTGAGGTGCAGAGAGGTTGGCAGCGTGACTGGCAGCTCGAAGAGGAGGGAAACATATGGCTGCGCCTTCAGTGCCCCGCGTGATCTTCTAAACCATATGAGAGGAATGCACGTGGTCCGAAAGCTCTGCCCCGTCCTCGCCCCTGCAAGTCCGTGCATCGCGTGCAGGCAGACGTTCGGGTCCCAGGGGGGCGCCTGCAATGATCTCCAGCAAGCTCTCCTAAACGGCCAGTGTCCTAACAGGGGTGCCCTCGCGCTTCTCCCAGTCCAGCCCGTCATCTCCCTGCAGTGCGCCTTCTGTGAATATAGAGCAACCAACCTGGATGACCTATGCCGGCGCCTCCGTAGCCATCTTCCTCGAGAAGTATTGCCGCCTTCCGAGAACCACCCTGTCTCCGTGGCAGCAGCGGGGGCGCGTGGCGGACCTGGGGGCGCCCGACTGGCCTCAACCGCTCCCGCCTGCCGGGGGGCCACCGGGCCCCGAGAAGGCCAAGACGGAGGTCTGGGCGCAGACCCAGGCAGGCAAGTCCAACGACGAGCTCGTCGCGAAGCTGATCGTGCTCATCACTCGCTTGGTACTCTGAGGCAGCAGGGCCATCGCAGACCTGGCGGCGACGGCGTGCACAACGTGGGCGCTGCCACCCATCGA